GAACTGATGATGCAAACAAATAAAAAAATTCCAGCATCAGCTTCTCAATTTCAAACAGTGAATTTCCTTCCCTTCATATGCACTCTTTTCAGGGAACATTTTCTGTTTACAATGATTTGAGCTCAGAGTCAGTAGGAATGAGAGCAGTTGACCTTGCAAATCTTATCAGAGAAATTAATTAAAAGATTTCATTTTGTCTTCATAACATCCTGATGAAGTTGATGTTATTTTATAAATAGGAAAAAAATGACGTTTAGAGTTCACCCAACATTGTACTTCAAGTTAATGGTGAAGCTTTCACTTGCGTCCAGGTTCACTTGACCCCAGAGTACTTGTCTTAACCACAAGTAACTGATTCTTCAGAGACAGAGCTAGCTGTGTCTGACACTCTGAGACTGTTCAAGTACTCACCAGTAATAGATTCATATGCATTATGAGTTAATGTTGAGAGTTTTTAACATTTTAACAAAAGAATGAGACAACCACCCCCCCCCTTTTTTTTTTTTGGTATAACTCAAAAAGGATGCTAGTTGACTTCTGCAATGTGGAAGTTAATCAGTAAAAAACTCCGATGTAACCTTTGTTGAGTAGGGTTATTTTTTCCCTTCTCCATTCATAAAAAGTCAATGAATTTTGTGTTAAGTCATCAGAATATTAACCCAACAATTACACAAAGAACTGATGGACTATTAATGGACAAAAAATGGTTTCTAAGCTAAAATAAGAACAAAGTATGGTATTTGATGTGCCATTTGGAGCTGGCCACATGGAATTACAGGAAATGTTCTGAACTAGAAAACAGGAAGTTAATTCAACACCCCAGCCCCCAGATGTTTCATTAGGTTTTAGGTCAGCTCCTGGAGGGTGATTTTCCTCACACCATTAGGTGTGTAAATAAAGGCTGTGCACAGTCTCTAGTCAGTGGATTTCAGAGAGTAAGAATGGCCTGAGAATAATTCATGTGAAATGACTTGACAATAGCTTATGTAATCCTGTCTCTCTTCACACACACCCACAACAGGCACACATACAACAGGCACGCGCGCGCACACACACACACACACACACACACACACACACCCTGGTCCTAAGAATCCCAGCAAGACCAACTTTCAGCTACTTTTGTAAGGATACAAAGAAGAGAAAGAATAAATTACATTTCCAATCACAGGTAATCCCATAATGTGAGAGTTCTTAATATATCCATTGGATTCTAGAAAAATACATTATTCTACATTTAGTATTGATTCACTATTCGTTATTTCAGTTTCACATTGCTTTCTGCAGTGTAAAAAGAATCAACTCTGCAGAAAATATGAAGAATGTGGGAACCATATCCTAGGTCTCATCCCAGTTGTTCCTCAGTGGGCACGACAGATTTATAGCCACCATTGTTGGCACCACACCCAGATTACCCTCTTTCCAATCACTTTTTTCTTCACATGCTGCCTTGGTCTTGCATATTGGTTTGTCTTAGGGTCAACTATCCCTCGAATAATGAGACTTTCACATTGCCTGATGACATTGTTTGGGCTTTTTATATTCTTATGCTAACAAAGTATCACTTTATCCTTCCTACTTTTAATTTATTACAAAAGCCCCCATCTACTATTCTCACATGGAGTCAGCCAGGTTAATGGAAAATTTTCAAGCTTCATAGATACTCTCATCCTTACTCAAATCCCCCAGTAATGCAGAAAAAGATGAGAGCATGCAAGTTAGTCTTTTTCCTTCCATTTAGATGGTCAATTGATTTTTGACTTTCTGACTTATGAGGACAGCTTTAGGGAAAGTTACTATTCAAGAAATTTTCTACACAATGTTAAGGATAAATTGATTCCACATGTGTTTGAAGGCTCATATGGTTACATGTGGAGGATTACTTTATTGCTTAACATTAAACAAGAATGATACATTTTCTTCTGATTTTCTGAAATGTTATCACTAGCGTACAACTCCATGTTTATAGAGAATTTTGGGCTAACACAAGTCTTCTTGGAGAAGAATACTTTATTATGCAACTGAGTATAACTCCAACTCATGTGTAATGATTTCTTTTTGCCAGCTCAATTTTCTAGTTATTATTGATATCCCACATTTTGTACATATTGCTTATAATGAAGAATGCTTGGTCAGATAATTATTATGCTAGATGCTGGTAAATACGGCAACACAATCGGCTTCAAAGAAAGTTAGTGTACCATCTCATCTCAATTCATCACAAACCCTATTGGATTCCCTATAGAAACATAAAGGGTCAGACTCAGCAGGTGTAAGAATAATTCTAACACTGTAATTGCTTTTCTACTAGCTGTCATCACTGTGGAAAGGTGGTTAAGAATTAAGTGCACTCTTCGTCAAAATAGTCTATTAACTGTACAATCTCTTTTTGGAGCTTGTTTTTATGATTATCTGATAATTCAATTTTTCTTCTGTTTCTGGGGACACTTAATTTAAGAGCCTTATCCCACCTGTACAAACTGAGCAAAGTAAAATAATTCCAACCTGCAATTTAATTAATTAAAAATAAAAAGCTTTGTTAATTTTATTTTTGCATTTCAGATGCATTAGGGGATAATGAATTTCTCCATAAAAACAAAGGATGTTTTCCAGTAATCACTAGATTTTTCATTTTCATAGACACTGTAGTGTGAAACATATTTTTTGTCATAATAGTCAATGATTTTAAACTGTAACTGAATATTTAAAGTATCTGAATGCCATATTCGCAGGAGACACATTACTTTTAAAAACAGGTAATACTTAAATAGCATATCTGGTTTGAATGTTTATTTTAATTACCAGTTTCTTATTAATAAACAATTTATTATATTACATTTAGTTCCTCTATTTAGATATAATAGTATTTAAATCTTTCCTTCTCTCTCTCTCTTTTAAAACATTATTTCAGCATTGGAATGAGCTCCACCTATAAGAAAATCTATTTTATCTGTATAAATTGAAGACAGTTTTGCATTGGTTTTATCTGTGCACGTAATCAAAATTGAATTTTATTCTATGAGTTTCAGTGCTTCTAGTAGCAAATGGATAAGCTCAAATTCAGTTGCTGTGCTTGATAAGATTACACATTTGCTTTTAGTGCCTTCTATCTGATGTTGATTTAAAACAAAGCTTATTAAATCATGGTTCCCACCTATTCAACGGCTCCAACTGAAGATAAATACCATGTATATCTGCTTAATGTACTACATCTATAAGAGTGCATTCTCTCCTCTTTCTTTTCTTTTCTTTTTTTTTCTTAATGTGTAGGATTATTTCAGCTTTGTGTGATATTAAATATAGGCCCTTGATTTATGCTTCCTGTGTCGAGAAAGTTTTCAAGATTTTAGAACCTCACTGAGCACAAGCTTACATATTAAAATAATAATATAGTTCTGTATTTTTCAGAAAGCTCTATTTTTAGATAAAAAGGAATCACATGTATTCTATAGTGCTGTCACAGAATGTGGTTAACCTTTCATGAACCAAGAGTCTTGAATCTCAAAGGCAGGATAACAGGAGCAGTATATTGAGTGCTCCCATCCCTTTCAGCCTTCTCTCCTCTCTGTCCACAATTTTTTTTAAATCTGCCAATAGGAAAATGGGCATGGTGGGGAAAAGAACACTAAGCTCTTGAGCCTGGCTGCTGTACTACTTGGTGGGTAGCAGAATAAATCAGAAAATGTATCCCTAGTTCTACTTTTATTTCTTATTTAAACTGCTATTGTTTCAGAATTTAGCCCAAAACTCTTAAACTAAGAATGTGTGGTATGAACCTTTGCATTCTAAAGATTGCTACAACCACTGCAGGCGCTGTCACCACCCATCTTCGAACAATATTTAGAGTAGACTGGAGATTCACTGAGAAAGCCTTCTTTGGAAGAAACTTATGGGAATAAGAAGTTGTAGGATTTTTTCCTTCCTTCCGGCTGGTGGGAGAGGCTCCTTTCATCCTATCGACTACTGCTGGGTGAAGGGGTCCTGAGAGAATCATTCTAAAAACGTGGGCTGCCTGCAAGAAGGAAAGCAGGCATTCTATTTCTGGACTGGGTGCTTGTTGAGCTACAAATCCTAGTCCTTATCAGGCTGCTGCTGGAGAGGAATGCAGAAGAGTTCTTAATCCCCAGCAATTTTATTTTTAAGCCAACCAAGAAGTTGATGGCTGTCTCTTGCCTGCATAATTTAGAAGGTAGAAGATCCGCTGGAGTTACCCGCTTATGGCTGGATAAGGCAAAAAGTCAGCAAGGGCTAAATATTATCAGAGCCCTAGCAGTCTTAAAAGCAACTCACCCAAAAGGACTGGCCAGTGACGGGAGGGGCTTTAGCAGAAGGATGCTGGGAGTTTTCTGCTAGTGACAAGAGATGGAAGAGGGTGTGAGTAGCCAGACAGGGAAATACGTGAAAGATCAGGGAAGAGGGCACCCTGCAGGGGAGCAGGGAAGGAGGATATTCTAAGGAACATTAAAATGGACCTTGAGATAGAAAGTCAACTTTTTGATGGTGCCCATGACAGAGGGCACCCAAGAGCCACATTAAAACAAACAAACAAAAAAATGAGTAAACAAAAACTTGACACATAAAGCATTTGTATTTCTTTTTCCAAGTCTTTCTTCCCATGCTCCCAATCCTAGACAGTCAGAAGCATAAGAGGGGCAGTGGAAGAAATAGAAAGTTAACTGGATAAAAAATAAAATCAAGATCATGCCTCTCTCTCCCACAGGCAAGTCTACATGCCATCCATCAGGCCTGAGCAGAGCAGGAGGGGAAGAGCAGGAAGTCAGACTGAAGTTGAATCTTGGCCTTGGCGAGCCCTGGGTATAGTAACAGTAGATGGAGGTCGGGTCAGGAGGCGCTCCAGAGGCAGGTAAGCTGGATACTGCCGAGTGTATATGCAGCCCCTGGTGGGAGAAAAATAAAACTGCTTTCTGTTTCTCCCCTAACCTATATCCAGCCCAGTCATAAGTCAGTCCCTCATTTTGGCATAAATCGTTTTATCCTCTCATCTATTCCGTTGTCTTTTAAGAGTTCTGGTTGTCATTTTAGGATCTTCTTTGCTAAGAACTTATGGTTTGGAGGAAATAAACTCCTTCCCTGACTCTACAAATGAGGCCTATGGCTCAGGCCAAGAGACTTCAGCATAAACTCATGTCCTGGACACATTATTAGTTCAAAATGACAGTGACCGAATGTCTCGGGCTTGGGCTCCAGGGGCAGGTTTCAGCACTGACAGCGCAGCTGCAGGGATCTTGGAGGCAACGCCTGGCAGTGCTTCTGAGTCCCGCTGCCCCAGCGACGGCCCCAGTACCTGGGACTTGTCCCTCTGGCCCTGCGCCCAACGTCTGATCCAGCCCATTGGACTTGTACACCTGCTTCTTCTCTGACCTCTGGATTTGTGAAAGGTGAGATCACATTCCCATTTCTGAGGCAAGGGCTGCCAGAGAGATTGGAGAATGTAATGACAGAAATGTCTTCTTTCAGATAATCTCAGGACACCGTCAGCTCAACAGTTACAGAACTACTGTAGTCACATCTTCAGGAATTGCTTGCTTTTTAAGGATGAAAATGCTGGAGGCAAACACTGTTTAACAGGCAAGGTGAGAAGGATCTAGAAGAGAGAGCAGGAAGTAACCATGGCTCAGAGTGTGAGCAAATACAAGGAGAGCTTCAGGAAGGTTCCCATCTCTAGCCAGTATTTTTTGGATATTTTTGCATGAGTTTCATTTTAATTTGAAAGCTACTCAGTTCGCTACTCTTAACTGTAGGGTGGCAAAAGTGAAATCATTCCATCTCTTTAAAGTGGGAGCTTTAATGCACATTGCAAAATAGGTCAAGTTATTAAAGATGGCTATGAAACTGCTAGAATCTGTGTGATTTGTATTATATTACCTCTCATGAAAGAAACTGGGACCAAACATAAAATCACCAGAACAGCCAATACGAGTACCTTCTGTATCATCCATCCCTCTCCCGGGGAGTTTGAACTTTTCAGGAATGCATGTGACCAGTCATGAAACTGCATACTGACAAAGGTAGCTGACCCCTGTTTTCAAGTTCATGTCACATTAAGTAATTAGGGCTTGACAGACAAAGTGATTGTGAATATGCTGTTCCTCTGAGGAAAAGTGATAGATTCTTCAACTACATGTGTTTACATTCCAGCCTCCTGTGGCAATATTTGGAGCTGCACCCTGGTGGATTTGGATTACAGACAGCCCATACGATGTCTCATCCAACATTTCAAGGAGAACTTAAGCTATATTCCCTAGAACGTAATGGGACATTTGTATTTATCTAAATAAGACTTCCCAGCATATAACGCAGCTGCCTTGAAGCATGATTGCACCAACACCATGCTCATGTTAGGTTTATACCAAGAAGACCGCCAAAGGACATGAAGACATTCTGCAGTGGCTACAGACTCCAGGACTCCTGGAAAAACCACATGTGGTTTTGTATTAAGTTTCGAAGGAATGGTGTTGATTCTTGGAACCAAATGTTTTATTTTATTTTATTTTATTTGGGGTAATTATGTTTGTTTGTTTGTTTGTTTGTTTGTTTCTTTCTTTCTTTCTTTCTTTCTTTCTTTATGGTGGGGGTGCTGGGGATTGAACCCAGAACCTTGATGCATGCCAAGCAAGTGCTCTGCCACTGAGCTATACCTTCCCGCCCCCCAAAAATTGTATGTCCCATTGTCATAATTAAGTCTTCTGTGTAGAATGAATAGAATGTAAAATCTATACAGCTTTAAACTTCCTAAAGGTTGAATTTGCATCTGTTTTACACTTATATTTTTGCAGTTAATTTATTTGTCAACAATAGTAATTTTGTTTAACTTTTTTGTCCTGTTTGTGGTAAACTCCAGAGGCATGGAGATCTTAACATTTCTACAGTAAACTGTGCAGTTTACTTTACACTTTTCATTTAGGCCTGCGAGAAACATTTTCTCAGAAATGCTGATTAGCTACTTAGCCAAGATTTTGTCGTTTAGAGATCTTCCCTGTTTTATTTTGTAATGACAGCTGTTATGAGATTGTCTCTGTTGATCAGTGGATGACTATAAACAAAGCAGAAACAATTGGCTCCTAAGGGTAACGCCACTCACTTTTCACCATCTACTTGCTCTGTCTTAGCTCTACTAGTAATATAATGTTTTAAGGCTTTCTTGTAGAAGATTCTTAAAGGTAGTTCTCTACAGATATTTATACATTCTCTTTGAATGTGCTTATGATCAATGTCAGAGGAAAAATTTTTATTTGTTATAAAACATAAGCAACAGCTATTAAAATTGAAAGCTAAGTAGTTTTTCCCAAAATAGTGGTTTCTAAAATTGCCGGGGTGGATTTTGAGAAACAGCTTTCCTATGTCCTGCCCCAGACATACTAAATCACAAACTGTAAGGCCTCAGAATCATAAAAAAACCCAAAACCAAACAAACAAAAGCCCTTCCCAGTTTAGGGAGCCATTGTTTTAAAACGGGTGGTGCTACCAAATTTGCCAGAGTAACAGATCTTTAGGTGTTCATTCTTGTGTATTCAGAGGTCAAAATTCTAGACTCTGGGAGAAGCAAACTGAGGATCAGGTCCTACTAATTAGGAGATAAAGCAGCAAATTAAAAACAAAGCAAAATGACTACAAAATCGTCAAGTTAATTGAACAATTTGAATCATAAATGTACAAGTCCTCAGAAATGTATATATTTTATGTAACTTACAAATTATAGTAAATCCAGCTATTTTAATCAAGAACAAGTCAAAACTGGTCACCATAATTCTTTGCATTGGTATGGTGATTTGTTGTTTAAATATACTTTGATAAATAGAATCTCTTTTGTCTTCAAAACTGAGAGAGAGACAAGGAAGTGTCTGGTATTCTCATTTTGAGACTCAGAGTTCTTCCCATGACTGCAGAGAATTGGAGCCACGGCACAGAAGTCCCTGCATGCTAATCCAGTCAATCAGAGCCCAAATTTGAGAGGCAGAGTTTAGGAGGTTGCATTATCAGTTATCTCATGTTATTTTAGGGTGAATGGAAGGATATAATGCATTTATTGTAAAAGTAAAGCTTTACAACTTAAAGGGGAGCTTTATGTATCTAGAAACTCTCATTCCTCAAAGGATTACTTAAGAGAACAATGCTACATCAATGTTTAGGTTGGGAGGGATATTAAAGTTCATTTAGTGTAGTTCTCTAATTTTATAGATGAAGACCATAAGACTCAAGAGACTTGTAGAGTTTGCCTAGTGATTCAAAGCTAATCTGACCAATTTTGGCAAAAAAGGACATCTTTCCTAAGTTCCATAATTATGGATTTGTTAAAAATAGTAAACTACATTGGTGAGTGAGTTATGTTAGTTCAATTTGCTAATATGTTTAACTTTAAATTTCACTTTTCTTGCAACATAAAATATTTTGTAATGCTTTAAAACAAAGTAACCTCTTTATTCCCTAAATAAGTTATTGTAAAACTGTGATAAAATTGATAACTTTATATCTAAGGGACTTCACTCTCACTCAAATTACAAGTTCGCTCTCTTTATTTGAACACTGATAATGGCATTTTCAAAGGAGCAGCAAAAGTATAATATTTTCTTTTAGTTTCTTTGTAAAGTTTAACCGTTTTTACTTTGCTATTATGGTAATAGCTAGAAAATTACATAAAACAATATTTTGAGGGCGCGTTCTCCTAGTTGATTTAAATCACTGTGCTAACTGAAAAGTTTAATATTTCAAAAACTCCACAAGTTACTACATCGATCAGTATCTGATTCATGCATTGTGGATATAAAAATGTATTTAAGGAGAGAAAATTGATTCTATGTGCGTCTTATAATCTGAGAAGTTAGTGAATGTGGCAATATTTTAAAGGAGGGGGTAGAAAAAAATGTTCTGCTTTATAATCAAAATGCTGTCTTCCTACTATGAGGTCATTATATTCTGGCACTGTGAAATTCTTACATAAAGATGTTAAAGTGGAAGTAAACCCATAATCGTTTATAAAATATTTTCAGTATGACAATAATCTAAAAATATGGGGAAAATTGTCATCTCTGACTCAGGTCCAACAAAACTGGATAAAATGTGTGTTATGGTTCAATGTGAAATAACCTTCCCCTGTCTTATCAGAAATTTTCTGTCAGTGAGTCTCTCTCCCTCCACTGATGTGAAGAAAGAAGTGTAGAGCCCTTGAAATTGTTACTAGGATGAGTGTGGCAGTTTGGGGATGAAGTTAACACTGCTGAAAGTAAAGAAGAAAGATGGAGAAAATCA